AACAAAGTACATGACTCAGTTAGTGTACTTAAGTTGAATTTTGAGGTACCTGAACTTCTATTCCACTATATTTCGCATGAAATTATTGTCCTTTTGATAGTGGTTACTAGTAACTTTTTACATAAATAACATGATCTGTGAATATATATTTATGTTCCAGGTCTTCCAGTACATATGTGCCCCACATTGACAAATTCAATTATTTAAAAAATAAAGAAATGGAAACATATAATATTGTATAATAAACAACAGTTTTGAAAAAGCAATTCTTACAATGCGTACTTTTATTTTTGTTACCTTAAGTCAGGGGTGGGGAGCCTTGTTCGTCTCAAGGGCCATTTCAATTTTTACAATATCCTCAGAGGGCCGTACAAATGATTGACCTTTGCTTAAAAAAACTAAAATCACAGCCCATTCATTTCATTCCGGCTCCTTATCGGTACTGCAATTTCTGAAGTGCTGGAGTGGCGTTCTTGTGCTCTCCGTCAGAAATGCACCCCTGTCAGTCGAGACATATACCACGTGATGACACGTTTGGCTCGTGTTGTGTTCAAGGACCCTGACCTTGGCCAGGAAAAACAGGCACTCGCTAGTTTAATTTGATTGCGGTCTAGTTTTCTTACATTTTTTTCTTTTTTTCGTGTGTTTATAAATTACCTCGAGGGCCGTACCAAATTGTCTCGCGGGCTGTATACGGCCCGGAGGCCGGAGGTTCCCCACCCCTGCTCTAAGTAACATATTGGACTTTACCGTACAATAGAGTATTTTTAGACTGTGATCTATGTGGTCTAGCATCTGAATACTTATTTCATCTCTGACCGGATTCTTCGTATTTTAGTAATGATATTTTAGTAATTACTAAAATTCTTCGTATTTTAGTAATGATGAACAAGCAATGATTTGTCTGCAGAAAATAGATGGATAATAAAACGCACCTTTCCAAGAATAAAATGCTAAATAATCATGTGAAAATAAACAGATAAAAACAGATAAAAACGTGTTATGACTTTTGTTGTTTTTCTTCAGTCAGTGGGACGAGTTACCCCACAGCCCTGTCTTGTCAGAACAAGAAGCTATTTCCTGAAACTATTTCACAGTTGTGGTTTCTTCAGTTTGATGCAAGACTAAGGCTTAGAGGAGAACACAATCATATAAAAAGTAATGCATGCATCAATTACATATCTACAGTTGCAGTAGACTTCAAACTGTTGGATGCCAGTTTAGTGTTCAAGCGTGTGCACGCTGTAGCCACACAATACCTGTGGGTTTGCAACATGCTGCAATTTATGTGGGGAAATACCGTTTTAAAGTAAGAAATATCCCCCAAAACGTTTCAACTGTATTCAGAGTAAGTGAACGTGTACTATTAAACTTACACTATCTACAACAGAAGGTTATTTCTCCAAAAATGTGTCCTTTGTAGACTAGGGCAGTGTTTCCCAAAGGGTGTGCCGTGAGGCAAGTCCGGGTGTGCCGTGGGATTTTGTGACAACCATACGTTATTATTGCAATATACAACTACACAAAAAATAATTACTTTTTAATTTACTATATCAGTACTTTGTAGGTTTATATGTACGTAATCTGCGCGACTTGTGCGTCCACATCTCCACGTGCAGTGCTGCATAAACATGGCTGAGTCAGCGATAACTCTCGAGGGGTGGAGGTCTGCCCATTATTTTGAGTTGGTCCAAAGAATAGACAGGAATGTGACGGTGAGGTGCAAACTGTGTCCAGGCCAGAAGCTGTTATCCACTGCTGGAAACACCACGTCAAACCTCAACAAACACCTGCAAAGAACACATGCTAAGGTGAAGCTACCGCACAGCTATTTGTTGTTTGTTTATATCACGTAGTCTGTTCTGCTTCTCTGTCTTCCGGTTGTTGTCTGTTTTGAATGACAAATACACACTACCGCCGCCTGCTGGTAAGGAAAGTTATTGCCACTCACGCATGTGCTCGGCGAGTAAAGTAACGAGTTACTTTATGTAGATAGTAACGAAGTAGTGTAATATATCGGCAAAATATTTACAATAGCACATGTTTCAATGCTGATTGCTGAAATGTTACATTTATAATTTGTAGTTCAGGACCATGGACAATGCAGCTTCCTTGCATTGACAGTTCTCTGTGCTGAATTTCTGCTGAGTTTCCTTTGCCTCATTTTTAATTTTGTGACCTGTCTGGTTTAAATGAGTGTGTTGCTGCTTTGATGAAGCCTAATTTGATAAAGTTTCAAATTAATTTCTGAAATATTTCGTTAATAAATATTTCATGAGTCATATAGTTGTCTTTGTCACATTTTATTTGGCATTAGTAAATAATTATGCACATTTACAGATATTTGACATGATATGAGTGATAACATGTGTTATAAGGGCTATTTTGCACAATAGGTGTGCCTTGAGATTTTTACTTGTCCTTTGGTGTGCCTTGGGCACAAAAAGTTTGGGAACCACTGGACTAGGGTGACCAGATGTCCCCGTTTTCCGGGGACAGTCCCCGTTTGTATTGCCCTGTCCCCGGTTGAAACTGTCCCCGGAAATGTCCCCGTTTTTTAATATATGTTAAAAACACATAGTGAAATGAAACGTTTCATGTCAGGAAACACTGGGTAAACAGATTGCGGTCATGCCAGCCCCCACTTTGGAAAACACAGTCAAGCCAGTAGCGATGTGTCGGTCGCGAACGAGCCGGCTCAAAGAGCCGGCTCTTTTAAGTGAACGACGGGAGCCGGCTCGCGAACGAGCCGTTTTTTGTTAAGTAATACAAGACAGAATGATGATGACGATGATGATGATCTCCGCGCTACAGCTGCGTGCATGCATGCAGTGACATGTAATATCCAAGGATTAGAGACTGTTGGATGCTGCTGTTTTGAGCATTGCAATATATTTATTTTCACTGTTATTTATTTATGATTATCCTTAGGCTCAGCAAAGATTTGATGTCAGCTGTTGCTGTCTTGTTTTCTATAGTTAATACAGAAATAGAGCCCTGCTGTTTTGTCAGGGCCTTTTCTTTAAATATCATTTGAAAATGTCGATACAGTAGCCTCTTTTTTTACATGTATATGCTTAGGTTTTTATAGGTGTTGCTATCTGTTTTGTGTAGCGTGGTTCTACAAGCAAGTCAGTGCATTCATTGGGTGGCATCAGAGAGTTACAAGGGTCTGTAAATGCAATGAAAACATTTGGCCACAGCAAATCATTTATTAAACATGTCATTTTTACTTTTGAATACTTCAGTACAAAGGATGTATTGAATAATTTAAGTGATATATGTGTACACATATAAATCATTAGTCAAAACAAGGCTACATTTGATTTAATTATAAAAAGGTATAATATGTGATAAACTGAGGAGCCGTTTGGGAGCCGAAAGAGCCGGCTCTTCTTGGTGAGCCGAGCCAAATGATCCGGCTCACCAAGAAGAGCCGGAATTCCCATCACTACAAGCCAGCCCGCACGTGTATTGCGGTGCGCGAATATCCTATGCATTACGGTAGAGGCCTGCAAAAACTGCCTTCAAAATAAAAGCGTTTACTCGGTCAATAACAAATATACCTAAAAAAAACACACCAAACATATTCATATATAGGCTACTGGAGCTTAAATTAAGAAATATGTACTATATAATGTGATCAATAATCATTTAAAACAAACTACGTATAACTACCACATTATAACTGAGTGAATGTCAAATGTAAGTAGGCTATACAGTTATGAAGACATATCTGACATTTCCACTGGGTGACTAATTTCAATTGATGTTGACACCATCTCACAACACTCCTAAAATAACATTACGTTCTGAAGCACAATTTAACATGTATGCTGTTTAAAATCTCAAATTAGATCTATTGTCCATCTATATTTTGATTATTATTTAATGGAAACCGTCCATAATCAAAGAGTCATTCGAAGTCAATCAAATACTTATTTCACTTCAGGGTGATAGCAGGAGACCCCATCTAGTCAATCAGAGAAAATCAGGACAATCTGATGTAGAATTTCAAAATAAAATACTGTTGAAATCTCATATATGGGCTATCGTCCTTCTGTTTTTATACAAGAATAAATAAAAAACTGTCAAATTATCAAAGACTTATTTCACTCCAGGGTGATAGCAGGACACCCCATATAGTCACTCAGAGAGAATCAGGACAATCTGATCCACAGTTTCAAAATAAAATAACTTTGAAGTCTCATATGAGCTATCTTCCTTTTGTTTGTATCCAACAGTTAAAATGTTCGAATTACATTGAAACAGAATTGTCCCCCTTTTTTCTTTAACAGTCAAGAAAATTGGATATGTTAATGATATATATTGACCGAAAAACTCAAAATGTCCCCGGTTTTAATTTTGAAAATCTGGTCACCTTATTGTAAACGGTACTTGAAAAAGCAACTCACTGCAATAAAACAGCTTAAATGTGACGTGCTTCACCAGACCTAACTCCATAAAAAAAAAAACATGCACTACGATACTGCGTATCGAGAAACATTAGTAATATTGCATCTAAAAAACTAAAAGTGAGTCAAAGGGAGTTGCTCTTTCATTCGGCATGTAGCAGACATTACACAACACGTTTACAAACTTTACAGTGGCAACTTCTGTTCCAGCTTCCAGAGGTGGAGGTGTGAAACGAGGTGTGTCTGTTTGATATCAATGCCCAATGACGACCGACTCATGTGGACATGAACACTTTTTTTAAATTTTGTTGGACAAGATAAGTTTTGAATTGCAAACAAATGAGTCCCTGAAGAGTGACTCGTCTTCTTTACATACAGATTTAAAAAGTATACATGGAGGATTGCCAGGTAACAAAGAAATGTTGGAAGGGAGGCCGCTGAGACTGCTCACCTGCCCGCCAGAGAATATGGTTCCGGGCATGAATGAGGTCCACCTGACCCTCCCTCACAGACCCCAACAGGTAGTCTAGCGAACACGACTTCTCCCTTTTCCCTGAGAAAAGACAGTCAAGAGTGAACGCTTACCTTTTTACGCTGTTCAAAACCTCAGACGAGTGTTTCTCATTCACCTCACTGCCAAACATTGGGGTCAGAAAAGCGACCGAAACCCTGGTCGAGCGGACTTCCTCCTCCCGGTGTGTGAGCTTCAGAAGGCTCGCGCAACCTATTTACACAAGTACTTTCAAAATAAAAGCACTGCCCACGAGCTCGTGCAAAAAGAGGCAGTGTTGAAATGTAGGTTAATACAGGGCCGGCTCTAGACAATTGGCTGCCCTTGGCGAGATTGTAACTGGCGCCCCCCCCCCAGAGAATCGTACAGTAGAAAATATAAATATCAATAGAGTATCCAAGGAATACACAATAGAAATATAAAGAATAAATGAAAAATCTCTACAAAAGACAAATACACTACAAAAACTGAAACTTATTGACATAGGCCTAGGTAATGTACATCAAAAAGGCTTCAAATGTATTCAGTATTGTATGAACATGTTTGAATTGGTGGGTGGACGTCACATCCTCCAGGGGGGTCCGGGGGTAAGCCCCCCCGGGAAGAAATGTTTGAATATTTTAACCTGTTGAACCCCATCGACCCGCCCCCAGGCGGAAAAATGCATCATCTGCAGGAAACAGCGTCTGAGGGCTTCTTAATATGTAATAAACTATGAATGTTTTATATCCATGTAACGGGAAGAAACTCAGCTAACTGATCATTATATCATTATTTTTTTTGCAAAAAAAAAACACAAAGCTAAAGCTGAGCCACTGAAATAGCCACGAGCGAAAAAATGCTAAGAGCGGTTGCACAGAAAACACGGTATAACCAGTGGCGACTGGTCATTAGGGGCATGTGGCACAGCCCCACCTAGTGTCAGCAGAAAGTATTACAAATAATGATTACAATTTTTTTTTTTATTAAAAAAAATATAAAATATATTTTAAGATCATGTTTAATCATCTGATTCGTCTGTACATTGCTGTTTTAGTCTATGTTCTTCTAATTAGTGTCTACAGTGTGTGCCTATTGAGCTGTTTAGAGCCATGTGGGACAAAACCTGATCATGCCCCTCTCTCTCACTGTCTAAGTGAACAGTGACTGTAAACACTACACTGCACAGGCTCAGAGTATTGTCCTATTTAATGTGTTGCAACAAAATAATGACCATAGGGGCACTGAACTGCCATCCCCACCATACGTCATCTCACATAATTCAGAGCTGATTGGCTGTAAGTATGTGTGCCGCGAAAAGTGTGGTGTGTGAAGAGGAGATGAGAGACGCGTCCTAAAACCCGGAAGTAAGCTGCGCATGGGTTCCCTCCACAAAAAAGCAATGAGATTTCTCCATAGGATTTTAGAAAATAGCTCAAAATAAGATCTGTGGGAAACGTACCTATTAGATAAATGCACGTTTTGTTCAGCCAGATAATATCCACATGTCTACCCTACTTTTATAATTTTCTAATCATAAATCTAACGATTAGATTTATGATAGACTTTTGAAACTACAAGAAGATAAGGAGGACTTTTACAAAAAAGTAATAGAGATTTTTGTCCAGAAGGATAGGCAAATGGACTTCATCTTCAAGTCAAATTTTATTGAAAATGGGATCTTACTAAGAGAGAAAAATTCAATATTTAACCTGTTAAACCCCATCCCTGTTTTTCAGGTCTCAGGCTTGAAAATGACATTTCCAGAACAAATGACCATAACTACACTTCTAAAAGGGGAAAATGAATAATAATTGTTCTCAAAGTAATAATAAACCTGTGAGTTGGATGTAGAAAAGTCAGAATCAATATAGATGTTTTTTATTTTAAAGAAAATTCAGATTGAACATAGTAAAAAACTGTAAATTATAGGGTCCGTCCAAAAATTATTTTTTACTTATAGTGAAAACTACCCTTGGATGATGGGTTAGTAGACTAAAAGCTATAGGAATCCAAAGTACAACATATAATAAGCACCCTGTATCAAGATTGATGCAAAATAAGTGACATTTGACCTTTTTAGAGAGGTTTAGCAAAAATAACTCTGATTTGGGTGGAAATGGGCATTTTTGCCGTTTCTCTGGAACCCATTGGTCGATTTTGGTGATTGGCATCTCTTTTTAACCGTTAGAGCCAATAGAATCAAAGGGGAATTTCCACATACACACCAACGTTACCAAAAAAAGTGGGGGCTTCACGCATGCAGTTTTGCCCAGACCGAAAGCTGTCTCACGCTCTGAAATGTGAAAACGGAAAATTAGGTTTATTGCATATGGATTATCAGAAATCATTTCAAAGTGACCTATGTGACCTATGGATTAACCTTCAGCAGCGTTTTTATCGTTTTAATGCCATTGAAGACAACTTTTGATCAGACAACAACAGAGGTAAGACCTATTGCCGTTTTGGCTACCTAGCACCACGTGTTTGGATGTCTGTTTTTGTTAATATTGTCGCGAGTTCTTATCATGGAGTGATGATATAGATACCTATCGATTCTGTGTACTCTCACGATGCTAATCGATGGGTTGGATTTGCAGTTACGATAAGTAATAAGGGTGTTATACCAGTGACGTTTTTATATGTACAAAAGTGGTGGGCCACAAAAAACTTAGATGTCTATATATAAGTTTCTGCAGTGAGGTTCATGGCTGGTGAGGCACTGGCACTGACTCTTCAGGTTTACAAATATTATATTTTGACCTAAATCAAAACATAATATTATTTTCAAAAGCTTTTTTTGTCTGATGCTTCGATTAATTTTAAACAGACAGTTCAACAAAAGGATACCCAAAAAATGTAATTTTATCATTTAAACTGCAAAAACAATGTATGGCCTGGGTATCTTTTAGCATATTAGCTTCAAATATGAACATATTGTTTACAATAATCATTTCAGCTACAGTATCTTTACATATACACCTTTATATATATACTGCTGATAGGTATCTTAACGTATTATATGTCGATATGTTTATATATTACTTGCTTTATATTTTTGGGTTAGTTAGCTAATAATCTCAGTCTGTAAAAAAGTCAAGCCGTCAAATAAATCTAGAGTAAAACATAGTACAATGATATTAGCTTCGAAAAAGTAGTCGAGTAGAAGAAGTATAAAGTAGCACAACATTAATACACTCAGGTCAAGTTTAAGTAAACTACTGTAGGTCTACCTTAACATTTAAGTATTGCTTAAGTTAATGTAACTTATTAACCCAGGGCTGGTCCTTAGCTTTGGCGTTATAGATGTTCGCCTAGAGCGCCAGATCTGGGGGGCAGCTCTGGGAGGGAAACATTTTTTTGACCCTTGGTGCTCATCCTAATTTTCGGCCTTGATGTAACAATATTCATAATTAAGTAAATGTAACACCCTTTTCACCCCGGTTCAGGGGCGGACCTACCGGGGTGGCATGGGGTGGAAACTGCCACCCTAAACAATAGCCTTGCCACCCCAGCTGCCACCCCAGTTGGCATCTTTGTTTTGAAAGAAAAGTTGTGGCTCATCGGACATTTATGAGAGAAAGTCTCTAATGTCCGAGTGCAAGTGAATGCAGCACAAGATGCACGTCATGTAACACCTCCCCCGGTCCTGGCGCGAGAGTGGAAATATGATTGGTGGCGAATTCACTTGAACGGGGGGACGGCGCAAAACGAGAAGCCTTTCGGACCCAAGCACTGAAGGAATGAGGTAGTTGCGATCTACAATGACATAAAAGAGAATGTCAAGTTTGGCTGTACTCAGCATTGAATCAAAACGCACTACAGCTGTTGATCTTAATAAGTTTGTGAGGCGTTTTGCTGAACAAAATAGTAATCGCCGCATTCAGCTGTAATAGACATGCCAACTTGATGCTCTGCTCACGGATGACTCGATGAGAATAACAAACTGTTAAGATGATGACCTTGTATGCGTGTATATATTTTTTTCTTTGAGGGGGTCTGCCCCCAAAAAACTGTTTTAAGTCCTGAGAAAGTAAAATAAGACGGTGTGTAAAACTACACTGCCCAGCCAACAGAAAGTAACCACTTTGATTTAACTAGGTCAGTAGGTAAGGACCTTCCACTGGATAATAACTGCAGCGATGTTTTAGCTGAATACACGTTTTTTTTAACCCTAACTGATGCAGTTAGTCACTTCTTTAATGTTTGTTCTTTCTGATGTAAAGTCAAGGTTGTAACTGTATATCAATAATGATATAATTACTTGTTTTTCAAATTTGAAGGAGGGTGAGCAAGCATCTTGATGAACATTCATCATGAACTCCTCCAAAAAATATAGTTTATTCAATAATAAATGAATATGTGAATCATAACAGTTCTTCACTATATCTGTAAAGCGTCTTTGAGCACCTGTAAAAACGCTAACAAATTAAATCTATTATTATTATTATTATTATTTATTAACAGTGATTGACAGCTGATAGGAATAATATGATTGTTAATAGTATCATATTCATTCAGACAAACATCGATGAGACAGTTAATTAATGTACTTATTGCAGCAGTCTGCATAGATTTGGTTCCCCTGCTGGTATAAGAGTGAGACAAACTCATTCAGTTATTGTTCAGTTAAAATTCATTAAATTACGTCTGCCACCTTATATGTAAGGCTTTACTGATGTGGCACAATAATATCACCTATGTGATTGAGTTAAAATATTAATATTGTGGCTTTCCAAGTTAACATTGATTGTAGGGGTGTAACGGTTCACAAACATTTCGGTTAGGTACGTACCTCGGTTTTTAGGTCACGGTTCGGTTCGGTACGTTTTCGGTACAGCAGAAAAAATGATCACAAAACATTAAATATTTTTTAAAAATTATTATTAAACTGTGACTAATGTATTCAAATAAATACAAAATATAGTAAAATAAACATTAAGGTGCAGCATTTTGATGAACTGAAATAATCTGTATTTGAACTGTACTAGTACCTAAGCAGCCAGCTTGACATTAGGACTTGCTTGTCATTGTATTTCCATGTTGTTTAAAGAAAGATGAACTTGTCCACATTGCTTGCTGAAAGGGCAGATCTGCTGGCACTAACAATGTCTCCTGCTGTGGAGAACACCCTCTCTAGGGACAGTGGCAGCAGATACAGCTAGGTAGCGCTTTGCTAACATGGCAACATAAGGATATTTGG